GGCATGTGGTTATCTACCATTGTCTGTGTCTCTTAGCGTCCCGTGCCTCCAGTGAGACGTACTACTTAGTTCGCTTTACCTCTTGCTCCTTTCTGCTCAGGCTTCCTTTTTAAGCTAGATCTCTTGGGCGAGGTTCGAAGGGAGACATCGAAAGAAGATTGTGTGCTGTGCTTGGCGTGCCAACAGGTTCATCACAAGTTTGGTGATGCTCTGGGGTCTACCACATGCACTTTGATGTTTCCAAGCTCAGTTGAGACTTCCCAGAAGCGGACAGCAAGTGCTGTCATTCCTATCTTCAGACTACAGGATCATTCCGATTGTGGTGCTCCAGGCTCTACCATACTGCCTTTGGGATTTCTCAAAGGCAGGTCGAGCTAAGGATGTAGGATACGCTGTCAAAGACTTGACATGGTTGTGATGGCTGGGGTGTCTGGGTTAGGAAGAACATGTTCGTCATCAGTAATAACTGAGGCGTCTTATATAACAACGAGCCATTACTAATGAATGTCAACGGTGCTCGGCCCATCAGTAACTGTTTGACTGACTGGGCAGTACACTGTCTGGCACGGCAGCTGGAGCCGAAGTAAAGAGACAGCCGGGACCTTAGTGGAAATTGTTGGGCCAGGGGCATATGGTATGTCAGGGCAGCTCGACCTAGGCTCGCCGTTCACCCACGACTACTGAAGGCACTCGCTCCTGCCTCAAGAAGAACCTTCCGGCACTGTTTGTTGAGCATAGACCGGCGGAGACTTTCTAGGAATAACTCGAGACCTGGACAGGATGCAAGAGGGTTTCTCGGCGGACCCGTACCTTGACGTTGGGAGACTTCTCCCGATCTTTTTCTGGCTCACAGACTCTTCCACCTGGTCCCTCTCCCTCTTCCTCTTCTTCCTCTTCGAAGCGAAACCCCATCACGACGTTGAGACCAGCATCACTTTATCAATCCTACAGCTCTCGCACTTTGTTGGGACTCTGCTCCTTCGGAAGTTATCGAGCTGAAAGCAGCTAAAGCAACCAGTGCTCAGAAAAGCAAAGAACCGAAAATCGATCGCACCTTCCGTCGACGCAGAAAGTTGACTTCCAAGCCCGGTTTCTCAGGCTCGCTTCACCCGCGCTTCAACCTCAACTTCACTCAACAACTGCTTCCGACCTTTTCGCCTGACCGCCTACAAATACTCCCCACGCCAAAAGGGGCGTCGGAATTACCTCTCTCTTTCAACCTACTTTTTTCTTTTCTTTTTTCGCGAGTTGAGGCGCAAAAACTCCCCTTGACTTCCAACTTCTCTGCGAAGCGGATCTCGTCGCCGGGCACATTCGACAATCAGAGCGATTGATCTTTCGCCTTCGCGACACTTCCGACACCTTGATTTCTACACCTTGATCCTTTCATCTCTGGGACAATTGCCCGGATTCAACTGACGCCATTGGTGTACTACCAACTGGATCACCTCCTAAAATCAAACATCCATCCTTACTCACCAAATCAGCACCTTACCACACAACTCTCACCGCAAGCAAACCAACATGTCCTCTTCCTCATCATCTGACGATAGGAGCCACCACGGCGGTGCTAAGCTCGTCCCTCAACCTCGTCGCCAGCCCTCGAAGGCTCAGATTCCGCCTCCCGCCCCGGCCAAAGAGTCAACCCACAGGAAGCTTCAGGCCGCTCAGGTAAATGACCCCGACTCCCCCACGCCTCTTCCCCGGGGCCAGCGCACCGCAGAGCGCGCTGCTACTCAGCCTACTGCTGTCCAGCCTATTCCTTTCCCCTACCAGGGCCAGATGATGATGCCTACCATCATGGGCTATCCTGTCGGCATGGCCAAGCCTGGTTTCAGCGGTGTCCCCTCAGACAGTTCTGCCAGTTCGGGATACTACCATGTTCGAATGCCTCCCGTCGCTACAGGCTATCCTAACTACGTCGTTCCACCTCAGACCGGACACCAGATGGTCCTCGCCTCACAGGCAACCCAGACTAGCGGCTCTGTCGACGCCATCGCAGCTGGTGTTGGAGGCATGAAGCTCCGCGGATATCAAGAGGTTAGTTCTTTGATTTTCAATCGGGTATGTCTTGATGGAAGCTTGCAGAAGCTGACCCTAAGTCTAGGAGGCCGACAAGTACATCCGCCACGTACAGGAGCAGATCTTCACTATCATCAGGAGGACCTACGAGACAGAGGGGCTGCCTCACAAGTTCTTTCAGAACCTTGATCGCGCTTTGAAGCAGCTCACTCAGGATCTCGGCAACCTTCAAGGATTCGTCGACAGGGTCGCCACCGAGGCAGACAAGGCTAAGAACAAGGATAACGAGAGCCAGACCTTCCAGGCCACTGCTGGCATGCAGGCTGTCGAGATCGAGCGTCTGCGTAGCTCTTGCGAGCAGCTGCGCCTGTCGCTCAGCGGCTCTGAGAAAAACAACGAGGAGATACAGGAGACCTACCAGAATATAATCCTGTCTCTGCAGCAGCAATACGAACGCGCGCAGCATAAGGTTACAGTATGTTCCCGCCCTTTTTCTTTCAAACAAACTTGAAAAGTGGCATCTAACTTGTGAGCAGGAACTCCAGGAACAGCTCGAGGGCAAACGCCATCTGTTCTATACCGCCCATGACGATGTTGAGGGCAAAGCTCGAATCCTCTCCATGGTCGCTGATAATGACTACCTCGAGAAGGCGAAGATCATTCAGCACCTAATCGACTCAGCCAACCCTCAGGACAAGGCCAGGATCCTCGAGGTCCTCTTCAGCAAGAATGCTCAAGCTCCGGTCCACAACCGCTCGGGTACGTCACGCCCACAAATCAGAATCTCATTCTACATGCTAACCACCCAATTACATGCAGTCTCTTACCAAGTGCCTAACATGATTGCGGCCATCCAGGGCGCCGCCGCCACGCCCGCAGCTGACGTTGCCTGGGCCGCTCGCCGCCCGTCGCGTGTGACGCCTCCGGCACCCAACATGCGTCGCACTCCCTCTAGCTTCAACCAAGGTAGCCTGGTTCGTCCACCTACCATGGGCGGCAGGGGCTACAGCCAGCCGCGCCCCGGTCCTCCAGGCTCGATCCGGCCCGTCGCCCACGGACACGCCGGTCCCAACGCCGCCCGCTATAAGTTTGATGACACCGACGATTCCTCCGCCCCGGAGTACGGCAGCCCGACGCAGCCTTCGGCCAGGCAGCAGGTCGTCACCCAGGCCCAGGCCGAGTGGACCCAGCACATCGAGCGCTGGAAGGAGGAGTTCTCCAAGATTTGGTGCCTGGTCCACGGCTGGGCCACTCGCCATGCGGCTCACGTCGAGCCCAACCAGGACCAAGCCATTCAGGCTGAGGCTCCGCGTCTCTGGGAGTTCATGTGCGAAATTCTCTACCCCAGTCAGCCCGAGGCCGGTGCTTCTCACGCCCGCTTCCTGCTTGAGGATGAGCAGTGCCGCCCGTACTTCGTCGAGCGCATGATGCTACAGTACGTCGTCAACAACATCCTCTCCGTCGAGGGCTGGATGGGTTTCAGCGAGGAGACGGACCGCGAGTTGAAGGAGCTCCAGAATCGTCTGCTTCGCACCGAGGGTACGTTTCCCCTTTCCGCCTTCCTCCCCTCTCTTCGTCTCGTCCACTAACCAAACCCCGGGTCCAGTATTCAAGTCCTACATCCGCCAGTCGATCAACGACCAAATCAACACCGTCCTCTCCCGCATGCTCGCCCACCCGGAATTCAGCGAGTACCGCGCCCGGCGCATCTCCTTCCATCAGCAGCGTCTCAAGACCATCGTGGGGCCCCTCATGGACAGCGTCGCCTCGCGCAATGACGCCTCCTTCGACTTGCACGCCGTGGCCTCCACCGCCCTGCAGGTGTCGGCGCTCATGTTCCAGTCGCGCCTCAACTTCGAGTTCACCTGGAGCCACACGTGCTCCAAGTTCAGCGTCGAGTTCCACGTGCCCAAGGAGCCGCCCCTCGACCCGCTCATGCTGCAGCAGAAGCAGTACCGCCTCAAGCTCGTGGTGACACCGGCAATCGTCTTTAGGGATGATAGGGGCGCCAGCGCCACGGTCAAGAGGGTGTTGAGGAGCGAGGTGTTTGTCATGAACTAGGCTGGTTGCGTTGTGTTGACTACGACCATTTCGGCACATCTCTTGACTCCTCTTCTGGTTCTTCGACGTCTTTGGGATTTGATCTCCCGACACATTCAACTGCGTTTTGCATCTGAATGTTTTTTTTCTTCCTTTTTTCGGATTGGGCATTGCGACAGCAGGGTTTAATGCGAGAGATACCCGGCAGGATGCCAGCGATTTGCTTTTCGCAGCATGGACTTTCGACGCCTAGCCTGGTTTGGCATGGCTGGCAAGATTTGGTGGGAATGGTGCTGCTTGTTATGACTATAATGCAGGAACTCCATGCTGCCGCTGATATAGTGGCGATGGAATGGCTAGTGGTGCCATTCCTATCCCTAGGACGACGGACAGATGGTCGGAGGCAGATGGCAAGAAAGGGGGTCACACAGAATGGAAAACAAACCAACGGAAGACAGGGGAAATCAAGATTGACACATGGACGTACGTACATTGAATGAAAAGCTTTGAAAATCCATCTCCCCCTCGTTCTTTCGTGATCTATTCTCTCTCGAGTTCCCTTCGTATTTAGAGCTGGGCTACCTCGTTCGGGCACGCACAGGATCACAACCAGGCAAGTAGTCTCTTAGGTACCTAGTAGACGAACAAGGCTGACTTACCGCTTTGCCACCACACAGCCCGTGACAGTGCACCCGTTACTGCCAACGCCTTCGCCTAACTTTTGCAACCGCCCGAGGCTGACGAGGCTGGTCGCCGCGGTGGTCGGCCTTACGGGACGGAGGCTTTCAGTTCGCCGAAAGTGCCAACGGACATGAATGCCAATTTTTATTTTATTTTTAAAAATGGATTAAACATGGGTACTCATCATTTTCACCATCATTAACGGGCCGTACCCTTCTCCACGTACGACAGGCGAAACAAGGCAAAAAAGAAACGTGTGAAGCTAGGGAGATTCGAACTCTCGACCTCAGGATTACTCCTCCCGTTTTTGTTATTCGGGAGAATCATACGTAAAGTGGTATGAGACCTGCGCTCTAACCAACTGAGCTATAGCTCCTGACTTGAAGAAGAGCCACGCAACCGGGCTTGAAGGGAGAGAGGTGCAGAGTTTTTGTTGCCGAGCTTTGGGAGGGTCGGGTTGAAAGCTTATGTTGTGTACGAGTCAGGGAATTTTTACTCGGGTGTCTGGTCTGGATTTGGGGGTATCACTACCTTACCTATGGAGAATGGTTATGAAGTTATGTCTATCTTGGCTTTTTGATGGAGAAGATGAAAGGTGTGGAAGTAGAAGGTAAGGGAAGAAGTAAGAAAGGTAATAATAGCCTCCAAGCATATCGTTAAAATGGCCAAGCGAAGCGACCAGACCGAAACCCCCAACTCCAGAGTTCCCCCATCAAGACGATGCGAGGACCAGCATAGAAGAAGCCTAACCACGCCAAACGCAAACAATCAGAAAGCACAACCACCATAAAACTCAACCAAAGCCAAGCCCCCCCTAGCCCAAGCAAAACCTACGGCAACTCAGGCCTCAACCGATCGTGCCTCTCCACCTCGACACTGATCCTCCGCCTATCCAACCGCTTAACCACCGCCCCCAGTACGGCCTTGAGGATCCCATCGGCCGTCAGCACAGGCCTACTGCCCGACTGTCCGTTCCACGTCGTCGTGTCCACCATGTCCCTCACGCCCTCCCCGGCCTCCTTGCCCAAGTTATCGTCCAGCTCCTGCAGCGCGTCCTTCGCCCCGGGTTCGTTGCCGACCTGGAAGAACTGGATACCCAGCTGGTAAGGCGGGGCGTCTATCTTATCTAGCTTCTTCGCGAAACCCAGCAGCACGGACTCGGGATCGTCGGTGGGGACTCCGTCGGTGATGACGATGACGTTCATGGGTTTCACCCCGGCGGCCTCGGCGTCGCAGCCGTGTTTCGCCAGTTGCGTCTCTAGGTTCCTAACGTAGGGGCGGATGATGGCTTGTAACCTGGTGCCCGTGGGCGTGGCCTTGTTGGGGCGCACCGTCTCGAACAGGCGGTTGACGGCCGCGCCGTCCTTAATGTTGAGAAACCCGCCCGCGGAGTCGGACGAGGGGCCGTTGTTGCGCGTGTTGAGGAAGTAGACGTCAATGCCGTCCGCGTCGTGCGCCGCGCACACGGGGGCGATGTTGCGCAGCACGTCGCGCGTCTCGCGCCAGCTGGCGCCCGCCATGGAGCCGCTGTCGTCGATGAGGAAGACGGTGTCGAAGGTGGAGAGGAAGGCGTAGGGGTCTTCTTCCGTGGTGATGGCGTGCGAGCCGATGGAGAGGGCGGCCGAGGCGCCGGAAGGACTTGGGGAGGGTCTCCGCGCTGCGGAGGGGCCGGAGAGGGCTTCTATGTAGGAGGGGGGTGCGGCGTCGGTTGCTTGGGGGGTTTGTTAGCTTGTTGTTCGTGAAATGAAGAGTGGGCAGAGCACTCACGAGGCCGACGAGTTGCCGTGGACGGGTTGCTGAAGGGATTCCGGCCGGCCCTGGGGCTGCTGGAGCTGTTGCCCATCGTGGGGTTGGTTGTTTGCTCTGGTTTACCCATCTTGCTGGATGATGATCTTCCTAGCTTTTTGATGGAGCCGAAGAACGAGCTTCGTTTGGTGGTGCCTGAATTTGAAGACATACTGTTGGCGGGGCGATGGTGGGTTGTTAATGGGTGAAGTCGAGGTTATATGTAGTTCACCGACTGCCATTAAATGGATCTGTTGGGGTTCCGGGGCACAAGGGGACACGTGGAAAGAACGAGGTGAATTAAGATTCAACTCGAGGAAGGAGCAGGTGTTGGATAAGGTAAGCTTTCGCTTTCACTCGGCTGCTTCAAGTTGTTGCTGTTGTCGCTGTTGCTTGCTCGGACGGACTCATCTCTTTCTTGCTCACCCAACATGGACCGTCTCACCTGTATATATCCGTCTTGCACCTTTGTTAAGACGACAACCTTGCCGGCGCAGTGTACCTCGTGGCAACCCTATTTCCCACCATGACCGGCTTAGCAGTGGCGCTGTTGAAATGAGTGTCTTGATACTCTTGAGGAAAAGAAGTGAGATGGCAGCTGGTGATCCCTCCTTTGTCACTTGATGGTTGGGCCGCCGAGAGTTGCTGCGCCTAATTCGACAGTTCGCCTTGTGTTAGTGCACAGTGTGGTGTTTAAGCAGTAGTGCTTAACAGCTAATCCGCTCGTGCGGGGGACACGAGAGTGGCTGTGAAATACGCCTTGGGCTTAAGTGGACAAACGACAACTCTGCCTTGCCTCAGGCACGTTTCCGTCTTTGCGAAACAACATGTCTGGATTGAAGCCGCGGGCATCCGATGGTCTTCTTATTCCGGCCAAAGAGAGCTGCCGCTTCGTATTGATAATGCATGCTCATCTCCGAACCGTGATGGTCATCTCTGGGGGCAGAGTTATGGCCTCACCGTCGACATGACCCAGTAAGTTTCATCGAACGCTATGCCAGAATCCGATCAGTCCGCCACTTGCTGCTGTTTCCTCTTTGCCATTCTGGTCATCTCGGCACCCGGGACAAGCGCCGTGCTCGCTGGCGATAGTTGATCGGAGGAGAGTCCCCGTCTGCGGCAAACCCGCTGCAGTGGACTTGGCATCTTGACAGGAGAAGTTGGCGCTGATTGGCATCACTCTTCAACAACACAGCGACAAAGACCAGCCTAGGAGAGCTTGTGTACAGCTCTCAGACTCCCCCTCGTGATGGTAGAACATCCCAGGCTGGGGGCAGGGCCCTTCACCTTATACAAGGACGTCATGGACGCCCTATCCCGGTCACCACATGAAGCCAACCTAGTTTAGAAGCTGGAATATGTACGACGATGAGCGAAATGGCTGCTGGCTCGTCTTGATTTGCCGCCTGCCGCCGCGTTGTGTGTGTGAACCCGTCATTTGGCATGTCATGCTTTCGGTCGATTGGAATACGGGAGCGTAGAGTTGTAGGTACCTTAAGACGGCGGGACCTATCGTGTTCGAGGAAACCGCTCCGTTGCCATTTCCAAAACATTGGTGAACAGTTGCACTTGTTCCCGCCTTTGAGCGTGCCCGTTCTCTCCCTTAAAGGCCTCCTCAACTCGCTCCTTCCTTCCTGATCCCCTATTCTGCCAAGTGGTAACGGGAATGACGACACCGTTATACCCGAAAATTACCTTTGTTAACCTCAAATCTTCAAACCATCGTGAACTCTTGGCTTCCACCTCAACATCGCCTTTTTGCCAAGAGCCAACCTGGAAGACATCAACATGTCCGCCTTTGAGAAGCGCAAGTTCTCCATCAACCGCAACACCGGCGAGCCCAAGCCCGGCCGGAGGTTTTCTACCAGCGGTCCCAGCGCGCAAGGCAAGTCATTCGGAAAAATGAAATGTAATCGTCACCAGAATTGCGCTGACGTTGCTTGCATCAAACACAGAGACGCAGAGCAAGATTCATCGTCAATTTCGGGCTGCTCACGAGGGGTATGGCTTCAAATTAATCTCAGATTGTCAATATTGCACTTGTAACTGACAGATGCACAGACACCTGCCCCATGCCGGCCTGGATGCTACCCGTGCGTCGACCGGAGTCGTGTGGTGCACTGAGAGGGCTGCCGAGTACGGATTCTTGGATGCACCGCACGAGTGGGCGAACCTGGGACAGGGAGCTCCCGAGGTAGGAGAGCGGTTTCCGCAGCTCACGATGGTGCTCAAATGCTCACAGCTGCCAGGTCGACGACGACATCGAGGGCTCCTTCCCACGCCCCAAAACCCTCAATCTCTCCGAAAGCAGCAGGGAGTACGGTCCGACGGCCGGCATCAAGCCGCTGAGGGAGGCTGTGGCTCATCTGTACAATGAGATGCACAGGAAGGGCAAGGAGAGCAAGTATACCTGGGAGAACGTCGCCATTGTGCCCGGTGGTCGCGCGGGTCTGATCCGTATCGCTGCCGTGCTGAACAATGCTTACCTGGGGTTCTTTATCCCTGACTATACCGGTTCGTGTTCCATCTACGCCGAGGTGTCACGCGAGAGAAGGCATGGCTAACCGTCTACAGCGTACAATGAAATGCTCTCGCTGTTCAAGAACGTATGTATCTCCCCTCACTTCACCTGTGGTTGCCAGGTAGGGTTGGCCCTAGCCATCAGAGGATACTCGGCGAGGCAGCAATATCACGACATGCCGCTACAGCTCTATGCTTAGTCGTAACACCGGGTTCACAAGGACTCTGTGAACATGGACGGAATACTGACCAGCTGATAGTTCGCCGCCGTCCCCATCCCCCTCTCAGAAGAAGAGGGATATCATCTTCATCCTGAAAAGATTGAAGAAGAAATAGCCCGCGGCACCAGCGTGATCCTGACCTCCAACCCGCGTAACCCTACCGGCCGCGTGGTGCAGAACCCCGAGCTCGCCGAGATTCAGGACATCTGCCGCAACCGCGCCACCCTCATCATGGACGAGTTCTACGCCGGGTACAACTACACCTCCAACTGCGACGGCACGACCATCAGCTCGGCCGAGAACATCCACGACGTCGACGACGACGACGTGCTCATCATCGACGGCCTCACCAAGCGCTTCCGCCTGCCCGGCTGGCGCGTCGCCTGGATTCTGGGCCCCAAGGAGTTTATTAAGGCTATCGGCTCCTGCGGCTCGTATCTCGACGGCGGCACCAACGTGCCATTTCAGGAGGCGGCGATCCCCATGCTCGAGCCGGAGCTGGTCAAGCGCGAGATGGTGGCGCTGCAGAGGCACTTCAAGGTCAAGCGGGACTACGTCGTCAAGAGGCTGCGGGACATGGGGTTTGTCATCCGCTACGTGCCCGACTCGACGTTTTACCTGTGGCTCAACCTTGTGGGGTTGCCGGGCCCGATTTCCGATGGGTTGAACTTCTTCTCGCATTGTCTGGAGGAGAAGGTCATTGTCGTGCCGGGAATCTTCTTCGATCTGAATCCGGCGAGGAGGAGGGATCTGTTTGACAGCCCTTGCCACCACATGGTGCGGTTCTCGTACGGTCCGAAGATGGAGACGCTGAAGAAGGGTTGCGATGGGATTGAGAGGGTGGTTAACA